TAAACCCTAAACACCCAAAGCCCCTGGAGCCCATCCCTAAATCCTTAAGCCCTAAACATTGAAACTGATGGGAGCATAGCCTACACTAAACCCTAACCCTAGTACCCCTCCAACCCTGCAACCCTTAAAAACCCCAAAACCCTTTCCCCCCTACAGCCTAAACCCTAAACCCCTTAACCCCCCTAACCCCTGCAGCCTAAACCCTAACCCCAAGCCCCCAAACGCTGAAACGATGCCTCCGGGATGAAGTACGTGGGCAGCGCGGAAAGCTGGAACTTCGGTTGCAAGGCTGCCGGGCAGAAGAACTCATTGACATAAGACCTCGGTTCGGTTTTATCATCAGGGCTTAGGGTTAAGAGTTCAGGGTTCAGGGTTTAGGGTTTAGAGTCTAGGGGTTTAGGGTTTAGCCTAAGTTCCTGAGTAACCCCCTAATAATCAGGGTACCCTGTCTCCTACTGTTTGGTTTTAATAAGGGAACCCGAGAAAGGCCAAAAGGGTACTAGTCAGGAACCTAGTCCTTAGGGGTCTTTTTAGGGTGTTAAAGGGCTTATGGTTTAGGGTTCGATAAGAGATCATTCACATACGACCTCGCTTTCTGGTGGTTATATGTCTTTTTTTGAAGGCTCTTCATGAAAACAACAGGGCTTTCAGGATTTCGGAAGTAAGGCTTATAAGGGTAGAGGATTTAGGGGCTTATAGGACTTCAGGGGTTTAGGGTTTAGGGTTTAGGGTTTAGGGTTTAGGGTTTAGGTGACGGTCAAGACCTCCTTCGGTTTACCTGAGGGTCCAATGAGCTCTCCCGGTTTGGGCTTTTGGGATTCAGAGGGTTCTTAGGGTTTAGGGTTTAGGGTTTAGAGTTTAGGGCTTTTGGGATTCAGAGGGTTCTATATCGGGTCTGTCAGGTTCCCTAAGCCCTTAACCCTAAGCCCTAAACCCTAAACCCTAAACCCTAAACCCTAAACCATAAACCCTAAACTCACATAAACCCTACACCCTAAACCCACATAAACCTCGTTGAGGGGTTTTTGGTGAAGAAGTTAAGGCTTTCGGCTCAAACGGGTCGAGGGTCTCACATCCGAGCCTGAAGCTGAAAGCCTTAAAGCAGGGTTTAGGGCTTATAGGGTTTATAGTTTAGGGGTTAGGGTTTAGGGTTTAGGTTTGGGTTTCTAAAACCCAAAGGCTCCATGTACTTGAATAGTAGATACTTAGGCCTCAAAGGGGTCCCTATATAGGTACTTTAAGGCCTAAGTATCTACTATATGGGTACATGGAGCCTTAGGGACATGTAGGGGCCTTAATGATTAGAAGAGGGTTTTGGGACCCATTATACTATACAACCGCCACAATAGTACTGGCAATTATTTAGGCCCCTTTTGTTATGGGTCTTGCGCCGGGGTTCTGCACAGGTTTGTATATGGACTTAGTGTAAGGGTCGTAACCATGAGGATAAGGTTTTTGGGGGTGTATCAAAGTACAGTTATAATCAGGAAACGCAAGGGATACCTTCATTAAGTATCTAGACCCTAAACCCTGAACCCAAAACCCTAAGCTCAACACTCTAAACACTAGAAGTCCTAAACCCTAAGCCTAAAGCCCTACACCCCAAACCCTACCCTTGAACCTTCTAAAGTAATTAACCCTAAAACCCCTCCTGATAGAATTGTTAAAGATGATGTAGGAACCTGATTAAGAAACCCTGGCCCTCTAGAACCCCCAAAACGACAGGATTCATATAAAGAACTCGAATAAGGGCCCAGGGTTTCTGAATCTGGTTCTTACATTACTTTGTTGTAGGTTCTTCTTATAAACCCTAACATAGAATCTGTAGGGACCCTACAAACAAAACTACCTCTTAAGGAGCCCTTTACCCTGAGGGCCCATGTACCCCAACAATAGATACTTTGGCCTTGAAGTACACCCTATATAGGTACTTTGGGGCCAAAGTACATACTAGTTGGACACATGGACCCTTAGGGCCATGGAGCACGATACCTTAAACCATCATATTCAGGCCCCTACAATTTAAGGTATATTCCTTAATTAAGAAGTATTTCTAGGGACCCTGCAAGAAAGTAGTTTCAAATGAGCTCTTTAAGGAACCCTTTATCAATCCAGGCCTGAGGATGCGGTTGTCCGGATGCTCCGTCACGCGACCACCGTAGTTGGCCTGACGCAAAACGGCTGACGGTGTAGGGTTTGAGGGTTTAAGGGTTTAGGTTTAGGGGTTTAGGGTTTAGGGTCTAGAGTAAACCCCTAAAAGTATGTAAAAAGGCACCAAAATCCCATAGGGGGCCATTATTCTACGTACCTTTGGGGTCCAGATAGGGGCCTAGGGCTTACTTCCCAGTGGTCCACCCCGGCTTATGGCAACCCACACCTGCCCAGATTCGTCGTCTTGTGCACTCTGAGCCTGCTACCCCTAAGGCTCCATGTACCCATATAGTAGATACTTAGGCCTTAAAGTACCTATATAGGGACCCCTTTGAAGCCTAAGTATCTACTATAAAAGTACATGAAGCCTTTGGGTAATGGGTCCATGAGGCGGGCAGTATTGAACGGTTCACAGACCGGCCAAGGCGGACGACGCGAAGTGTCTACAACAAATAGGGCAGGGTTCGGTGGGATTGGGGTTTTAGGGTTTAGGGTTTAAGGTTTTTTTTTTTGTTTAAGGGTTTAAGGTTTAGGGTTTGGGGTTAAGGGTGGACATTACAGTAGACGTCTAGTAAGAACACCCCTGAGCAAGAATATCGGTCAGTAATTATTCACGTGCCTATCTTAGCCCTATTAAGGTGGGGCGCACGTCGGGCTTAAACTACGGTGCTGAGAGCCCTGTTTGACCCCAGCTACTGTTACCATGAGTTCCCAAACCCTGAACCCAAAGCCCTCAAACCCTAAACCCTAAACTAAACCCCTGTTTCTTGGTTTCGGTGGTTTGGGTCTAGGCCTTGGGCTTGGTAGTCGACCTTGCGCCAGGGATAATAGCTGAGGGTTTAGGGTTTAGGGAGAGAAGAGCGTTAATATGTTGGAGACGCTAGAGCTTAACTCCAAGCCCTTAAAGAAACCTTAAGCCGAACTTTGAAGGAGACTATGGATACGTCCCACAAAACTTGGAGTAGTACAGGGGCCTTGTGTGAGACCTACTCCTGAGGGTGACTAGGGCCCTAGACTACTGCAGAACCCCTCTACAAACCCTTCAAAGAAACCCCATTTAAAGGAACCACTAAAGAAACCAATATTCTACCAAAACCCTCAGCCCTAGACACGGTTCTAATTACTAAGGAAGCATTAAAGAAACAATATTCTTCTAAACCGTAAACCCTAAACCCGGTTCAAATCAGTAAGGTTTTCTTTCTCCAACCAAGCCGGCCTCGGCGATGAGGTAACGGATGGCGTCCCATGGAATCTCGTTCGGATTCTCCTAGGCTCTTTCTTGATCTTCTTGGATTTTTTTCACGGGTTTATGGCATAGGGCTCAGGAGGTTTTAGGGTAGAGGGTTTAGGGTCTTTTAGGGTTTAGGGTGTTCAGGACGTATCCTTCGGAGACTACTGGGTTAATCTCTAGTGGGGTATAAGGGACTACAGTTTCGCTGTGAAGAAGACACTAGGGGGTTAGGGCACAGGGCTTAGGGGTAGTGTTTAAAGTTTGTGATTGGAGGATGATTTGCCTGAGCTCTATCTTTTAGCTGCACAAAACAAGATAGGCTTAGGCAATCCCACAGAACATGCATTGTGACAACCGTATTCCAAACATTCTTATTCCTATAGTTATCATAACTGTTAGTACGAACCGGATATAGTATCAGTATCAGTCTTAATCTTGGATCAGGAGTAGCATGTGTCTTTGCGTTTGTACTAGTATTAGTATCCGTATTCGTGTTGGCATCCGTATTAGTAGCACTACTAACATTAGCATTAGCACTAGCACTAGTGTTATCATAGTTGTTACCGCCATTGTCTCTGTTTGTATCGTCATGATTGTGTTTATGCCTGTTATTTGCTTTTTCCATTGCATTGAGTATCGCGAATATTGGTACATTCATTGTTACGGTTATCATGACTCGTGTATGAGTAATGTTGTTAGTTGCATCCGCTTTTCAGTTGCTACTAAGTACGTTTACCAAAACCCTAAGCCCTAAAACCCTAAACGTAAACCCTAAAACGCTGAACCCTGAATCCTAAACCCTAGACTCTAAACCCTAAAGCGCTGAACCCTGAACCCTAAACCCTAAACCCTAAACCCTAAACCCTAAACCCAGCTTGCCACCTGGTCTCGTCCAGGTACATCGCCAGAATGTTTTCGCCTTGCTCGGGCCGGGGGCTCCAGAATTAAGGTGTAGGGTTTGAGGTTTTAGGGTTT